TGAGTGACAAATTCAGTGTTAGATTGCACATCGTTAAAAAATATAATTACGATATAATCATAGACGACACTTATCACACACCCCTACAAAAATAAAGAACGAACTTACAACGATTACTGAACTGACATTTACCCATTTTCTTCTGCTCTCTTCCTTTCGCGTGCAGGAGGCAGTTGCCTACGCACGTGAACAAGCAAATCCACAAATAAAAATAAAATAAAAATAATATGTACGGTAATTAGATAGTTTTAATTTGGTAAATGATTCCGGTATGTCTAAATCAAATTGTCATCTAACATTTAGGAAAAGTAAAAAGAAGACTAAGACTTTTTATGGCCTTAAATTTTAAAAACCTAATTTAAGACCTTTTAAGACTTTTTAAGGATCCATCGTGGGAACCTTGAGTGCAGAAGTAACGTTAGCCTGTAGAAAACATACGAGGCATCTTTCCTGCAGTTTAGGCAGCACTGTGTGGGAACCATATATAACGTTGTGTGTGTTGTTACATCGACTTTTTTTTACCTTCATTCCGTGATCGACGAAACAACTGCTGTGTAGAAGTCAAGATATTAGTTTCACCTGACCGCTCTAATTCTTGTCTTACACGAGAAACGGCAGTTAACACTTGATCAAAAGCAGTTAATGCAGCCTGCTGCGCTCCCTCGATATCGTGTACTTCGTCCATTTTGATTGCTATTGGCGCGAATTTTTCCCGCCTGTGTATTTATACTTGCTAAATTAATATTCATGAGGCATGATTATCATAATGAGATGGCACTGAATAGTACGCTCTCTAATTCAGTTCTTACTAGTAACAATTATTATTATAGAGCTCTCTAATGCAATTCTTACTAGTAACAATTGAATTAGAGAGCTCTTTAATTCAATTGTTACTAGTAAGAACTGAATTAGAGAGCTCTTTAATTCAATTGTTACTAGTAAGAATTGAATTAGAGAGCTCTCTAATTGGAATTCTTACTAGTAAGAATTGCATTAGAGAGCTCTTTAATTCAATTGTTACTAGTAAGAACTGAATTAGAGAGCTCTTTAATCCAGTTGTTACTAGTAAAAATGCAATTGCAGAGCTCTCTAATTCAGTCCTTACTAGTAACAATTGAATTAAAGAGCTCTCTAATTTAGTTCTTACTAGTAACAAATATTATTAAAGAGCTCTCTAATTCAGTTCTTACTAGTAACGATTGAATTAGAGAGCTCTTTAATTGAATTAGAGAGCTCTGCAATTGCATTTTTACTAGTAGCAATTTAATTAAAGAGCTCTCTAATTTAATTGTTACTAGTAAGAATTCCAATTAGAGAGCTCTGCAATTGCACTCTTACTAGTAACAATTGTGATTGTAGAGCTCTCTAATCCAATTATTACTAGTAACAATTCCAATTGCAGAGCTCTCTAACTCAATTGTTACTAGTAAAAATGCAATTGCAGAGCTCTCTAATTCAATTAAAGAGCTCTGCAATTATACGTATCTCTAATGTGTTTTTTTACTAGTAACAATTAAATTAGAGAGCTCTGAAATTACATTTTTACTAGTAACAATTGAATTAGATGGCTCTACAATCATAATTGTTACTAGTAATAATTGAATTAGAGAGCTCGCTAATTGGAATTGTCACTAGTGAAAACTGAATTAGAGAGCTCTCTAATTGGAATTCTTACTAGTAAGAATTAAGTTGTAGAGCTCTGTAATTAAAACTGAATGGAAGTCAATGGAGACATATGACTAGTAAAAATTCATTTGTAGAGCTCACTAATTGGAATTGTTACTAGTAAGAAATGAATTAGAGAGCTCTATAATAATAATTGTTACTAGTAATAATTTAATTAGAGAGCTCTCTTATGCAATTGCAGAGCACGAGCAGTTTGCGGTTTTCTGCCTTTATTGAACATTACACTGCATTTGGTCCGTTTTGCAACATGATTCAATTAAAATTACAGCGCTATATATACATGCACGCTGGAGACCTTTTACCAAATATGGCTGCATCCAGATATTATTTAATAACCCCTGAAGTAATTTTAAAGATATCTGCAATTTAATTATGGATATCTCAATCAGATTTTTGACTAGGAAGATCTTTCTTTGGAGATATCTGCATTTAGCTTTGTGACTAGGACAAATCTCAATAGCGATATCTTGAATAAACATTCTGCCTAGTCAAAAAAAAAAAGAAGAAGAAGATATCTTAATAGTGTATTCAAATCTTTGCTAATCCCCGCCTTTTCTTTCTTGCCAACCAATAGGCATATGTCATTTCAAAACACACCGGTCTTCAGGAGCGTGCCAAAGAAGTCTGACGACGCTCAGACTCTGGATTGATCTTTTCAGGTAAGAAAATTACTGTAAAAATAATTGTGTGCGTTATTAACACTTGGATTATAATTTATAACTGTATTATTTGCTAACGCAAATCATGGGCCTGTTTTGCGGTAATGTGAATGAACTCCCAGGTTGTCTGAGAGGTAATATTAGGCCTACCTATATTTGTCAGAATGCTACCTTTTTGTTTTGCTGGTGGATTAACTCATTATCCTAGCCCGAAGTAATCTACAAACATTTTTTTAAGTTTGTCATAATTGCTGTTGTAAGAATTATGTAGTTATATAACTTATAAGATCAAATTAATATATCAGGAAGTGACTGGTTTTCTAATGTAATTGTAGGTTATGAATTAATGTTCATCCATAATTTTTCATGTACATTGCATGAAAAATTGTCGTTAATACAGTTGTTAGGCTTCCGTTCTTTTCATTAAGCCATTAAAAGTAATTGGAAATGTCTTTAAAGGTTCTGAGTGCAAGTAGCAACGTAAATTGGATATTTTATATATTTATGATGAGCAAATTCTCTTTTTACAAACGCTATCCTGACTGGCTGCATCGCCCTGTTTGCTTTCACGGTTATGTATATCATTTTTACTTCTCTTTAGTTATGAAATTGTGGCATTGTTGCGAGCAGATAAACCACAGAAAAGATCCTGGCATTCCTAAAGATCAACTGTTCTTTAAATCAGCAAGATCCCTTTAACCAAACAATACGGAGTAAATAAATTAGTTAAGGGCTCAATTACCTGTCATTTATAGTTAATTTGTTAACACCAGGAATCAGTGATTGTTTCCATAGGTATTTATGAAAACTCATTTTAGGGAGACTAACCTATAGTCATGTAGTCCAGTCTAAATTTTGTTAAAGAATAATTCATGAAACCTATAACAACTCTTTAGTTTTATAAAATTCTGCTTATGTCTATCCAACAAATCTATGTGATTAAAAAAAATATTTTTTTCTTTAATTGTTCTGTGAACAGGTTTCTGCATCTTTTGGTGTATTGCATTAGTACACAAAACAAAACTATCCTGCATACGTGAATAGTTTTATTACTTTATTTAACGGACTGCCTAGGATAATATCTGTTGTCAGACTGAAATACATGATGGCAAGTTTTAATAATTTTTTGTCCTATACTGTTATTTTGTTAAGTAGATTTTATAACGCATGTAATGTTTCTCTCAGTTTTCTCTCAGCCAACAAGACAGCTTACCATGTCATCAGAGCAAGAACCTCCGTCAGCGATATTTGACAGAGTTTTCAATACAATTTCAAGAGCCAGACGAGAGCTTTCAAATAACAATAATGATGACCTACTTTCTTCAACTAGACGCTTTTCCTGCGTCAGGTGCATCAACTTGCAGTAAGTTGGGGTGTGCTATGTTAGTATTAGCATAATTAACAGTGACTATGATATTAGCTAACTACCAGTGCTCATGATTTTAGTTAACTGTGTACTTCTGTATGTATGCCAGGAACACCCTGGAGGCAGGAAAATGCTGTCTGGCAGACCCACCTTTTCCTCCTCCCTGGCCCAGATATTGAGGTTTTACCCTCTACAACAGAGCTTGAACGGTTTGCAAACTTGGGTTTAGGTAAATGTATAGTTGATACATAAGGATGTCAAAGATAAAACAGGGTTTTTTCCTGGGCTAAAAAGAGCTACTGGGCTAGCAATTCCAAAATATAAGGAAAGAAACCATTTGTAATAATAATTTATTCTGTATATTCATGAAATAAAAAATAATCACTGTTGGGACAGTGGCATTATAATCACAAAAGCTGTTTATTACTTCAATTCAGCGTGAGGTACACAAAGGCATTGTGTTCATGCACTCGACAGACATGTCCGTGAATGTCTACAAATCTTAATGCGGCATTTGAAACCAGTCCGCTATTAAAAGGGACAATGATTAATATTGATAAATATTTTGAATGCAGGAAAAACTCTGTAAGGTTATGTAAAATGCAGCAAATGTTTTTATTGTTGATAGTGATCTGCATTTTACATAACCTCAGGTATTGCATACAGTGTATGATCAATTGATGAGCTCTGTTTTTTTGTTTTATGTTGTTAATATGTACATTCAATTTTATAGGTAGACCAGTGCAGGAAACATCTGGGACAGGAACCCAAAGATCAAAAATTCCACTAAATTGGACTCTGTCTGAATTAAATAACTTTGTCTGCGAGTGCTACCCAAATGTGAGTTTGAACTTGATAGGTTTCCATTTGGCAAGAGCAGGCAAAGGACGCAAGATCCAAAAAGTTCATGTAAATTCTATGAGGGATTTAAAAAAAGCAGTTGGCAAAAGCAGGCTCTATATTGTCCCACGAGCTGAAGTTTTGCAGGTATGACTTTGCAAAACAAAGGCACAATATTCAAATGAAAGAGCCATTTCTTTATGATATGACAAGTAGAATTGGCTTTTAATTTAACCTTAATGTAAATTTAAAAGGTTCAATTTTAGTTCATATTCTTTGCTTTCAGTTAAATCTTACTGTGATGTTTCTGCACAGCGCACAAGTTTATGTTGGGTGACAGTACAAATAAATTTACAGTGCAGTGAGCCAACATATTCTTTCTTATTGTTACACACTGAGTTTGAGAGTTTTTGTCTACTCCCAGGTAATGACACCATCCCCTGCCATGTACCTCATTGGATGCAGAGACTGCAGAATCTGTACATTTGGATGTGAGTGAAGTTAGTTTAGATATTGTGGAGAAGTATTTAAGTTGTGTCAGTTGTAACCAGTAATGATTTGTGACTTGTGGTTTTACTTTATTCCCTTTAGGAATGGCGAGCAGTACGTTCCCAGCAAGACGAAGAATATAATGCTTCCTTGTTGGCAGACCAAGAAAAGGTAATTTAAAAAAAAATCCTTCTATGCTTGCCAAGTTTAATTTGAGGAAAAACAAAAATGAGTCTTAAAAATATTTTGGTATTTACAGGACAGGAGGAGGCACTGCTATGAGGTTTTGGAAGAAAGGCTGACAAAGGTTGGTGCTGCCACTCAATTTTTTTTTATTTAAAGTGTTTTTCTAATGTGAACGTGTATGTTCCTATAAGTCACTAGTAATTCTTAAAAAATATTTGTATGCATTTTTTTTATGCAAAGGACTTCAGTTGCATCCACACATTCAGCAAGTTTGTCGCTAGTCTCTGTACTGAAATGAACCAGATGAATGATGTGAGAGCTGTACATGCCTACACCCTGTAGGCAGTGGTTGCTGTCACTTAGCCTATGTCTCCAAAGCCGCCAGCAAATGCTTTGTCCTTGGAAGTCTCTGTATGTCTGAACGGGTCTTTATGCAACTAGCAATATTTGAAAACATACAAAAGTGTTCAGCATTTGACTGAAACCTGTCCAAACTTTATCTCTTGCAGGGTTGACCTACAAACCATTCTAAAAAAACTGCTAAGTAAAGTTGATGAAAACCTCTGCCCGACAGTGAACCAAATCAACATATGCAGAGAAAACACTGCAGTGCAGTCTGAAAGCATTTAAGCTGCGAAGATTTAACCCAGAAGCAAAACAGGTTATGTTGTAATACTAAATATAATGGTAGAATTGTGTGTGTTATGACTGGCTGTGAGATGCTTGATGTGAGATCCATGAATCAGAGAGGTTCCTAATTTTGCATCATGAAAGCACTGCAGTTTGCAAGTGTACTTTAAGGGATAGTTCTCTTAAAACATTTTTTATTTTTACTCATTCATTTAGCAGATGCTGGAACACCCTCAGGTTGTTCAAAATCTGTTTTTCTACGGAGTTTCTACTGTTGAACACAAAAGATATTTTGAAAAATATGGGTAACTGTTACCCATTTCATTTACTGCCATAGTAGGAAAAAACCTACCCACATAATCACATTAATGAGGGCTCTACAGTGTGACAATTTCTGAAAACTACTGCGTGCGACTATGAAAAAAAATATTTAGGAGCACCAGTGCACCTGACCCAATCAGCATATTTGCTCGGGGAGCTTCAATGATTTCTACTTACAATGTGTTTTTGCAGCGTTGAGTAATGTGCTGAGTTATGCAAGCTCACAAATCTTCTCATTATAACAAGCAAAGTGTAGACACAATGTAAATAAGAGATTCACTGATTATAATGGAACTTTGTGAAATTGTGATGATGAGTGAAAGCTTTTAATTTTTCATAAAGACAGTCAGTTTTATATTTAAAACATTCTAAACATGAATTTATGAATTTAATTGCACTCATGCCACCTCTGAGCCTCATTAAATGTCTGTAAATATACCTACATGCCACTTTTGTGTTCTTCTGTGCCACCTCTGTAGTGCAAATCATTTTTGGTAATACTTATTGTTTTTGATCAGTAAAATAACTTATTCTTATTCTGTTTTTTTTATTATAAATTTTGAAAAAAGCTTATAAATATACACGTTTGAATTTGACATAAGATGACATACTTTCAATAAAGTTACATTCAAAAGTTACAAAAATGCCCCTTGTAAATCACTTTATGGAGTCAAATATTACCTCTTAAATGATTAATTGATTATTGATCAGAAGGTGCTGCTGAATTTTTTTTTTCTGTGCTCCACAAGTGCTCCTAAAAATAAACATAAGTGTAGAGCCCTGCATAAATTTCTCTCTCACTTGTTTGGATTGGTAAAGGTCTATGATTTCAGGACTGTGTGCATCACAGGGGGATTGTTGGCAATCAACATCCCCCTGTGATGTTGTTTTTTACATTAGAAAAAAAAAGGATGACAGGGTGACAAAGGATGATTTTTTACCTGTCCGCTTATGATCAGATCACTTGAATCCAAATACTAAACATTAAGCCTGTGATGATTGGGGGAACTTTTTTAACTTTTAAAAACATGAATAATTGTTCTATAGGAATTTCTGATATGAAGGTTTCTTTGTTTTACTTTAGCTTTGCAGACTAGGTTATACACAGTAATTGGGAAGATGATTGCTGTGTGTGTTGTCCATGTTGGCCCACATTTCTTCTCTGAAAGGCTTTTTCAGCAGATCTGTGGGTTGCCAACATCCTCTGCCTCGTTGGATGAGGTTGGAGATCATACATTGAGGGAGCAACTAATCAAGGTGAGGAGATGCTTAAGAATTGAAATTATAAGTTAATACTTATTTTAAGAGAAGAAGCCCCCCCCACACACACACAATTGCTTTTTTTGGAACTGTTTTAGATACAGGAAGCAACAACTGTTCTGGAGGCAACTTGTGCCATTGCAGAGGCAGCAGACAGTTTAAGTATCATTGGTGCCTTGAGATATGTGTCAAGCCTGACAGAAAAGAACTCTCTTGTCCAGTCGGCTGCAGAGTTCTTTGTGAATGGAAGACTGCAAGCTGCCTTGGAACAGTAAGTGCCTTTCCTTTCCTGACAATATATATCAGCATATATCATTAGCTTGAAACTTATTTTGAATGCTTTGTTTGTTACACAGGTTTTCAGAAGGGTTGCAAACTCTTGGTTTACTGGATGAGATGCAGAAAAATTCTGCATTGTTTTATGACATGTTTGTTAGTGATGAGAAGCCCCTCCAGGCAAAGGACCTCTGCAGTCTATTTAATGTAAACTTCTCCCCACAAGGCAGCAACAGGAGGGCTAGAGAAAACCAGACCATATGCCACTGGAGAGACTGGTTGATAGATGTTAAAGGTATGTCATGATTTGATGTAATGTTACAGGTCCACTATGGTTTTTGGTAGTTTTAGGTCACTTTTTTTTAGTTCAAATTGATATAATGAGCAAGTACATCATGAATCCATCTTCAAAACTGCATGTCTTATCCTGAATCACTATGACTATATAGTAAGTGTTTATATTCAGACTGTTTTGATCCAAATGGGACACCAACCTCCCAGTACCTGCATGACTTTTATACATAAACAGAGAGAAATAACTCTCGCTACAGCGTTATTGCACAAGACACATGCAGTTTTATTAATCGCTAGAGTGCCAAAGTTATATAGTGTACTTATTAAGCCTGTGATAATGATAGTCCTCTCAAAAGGGAAGATTGAAAAAAATCTAAAATCTTAAAAATCAATGACAGATTTAGAGAAAACAAATGTACATTTTGAAAAAATATCTTATTTGTGATGATTCTAACCATTGTGCAGAACAAACACCCTAGAAATCCTGCCGTTAGATGTTATCATAACTAGAGACAGGCTAGCTAGCTCTATTTACATTACAAATGTGAAATAATTGCACTTACCACACATTCTTTATGAAGTTAGAGTATTTCCCCTACTTATGTTTTGCAGAAGGGGAGTGTAATGCAGTCACTCTGGAGATGATCATGGAGTTTGCCACTGGAGCCTCCACATTGCCACCGCTGGGTTTCCCCCCACCACCCACAAATAGAGTTCCTCCATCAAGATGGAAAAATTTTTCCAGAGGCCAATACTTGCCTCATTGTACTTCGCCTGCCAAACACACGGAGTATGAAATGTTCAAGAAACACATGACAGAAGGAACTGTGCAGAGCCCAGGTTTTGGTGTTGCCTGAGCTAGTTTTAATCTAGACTAGAACAGTTAAGAAAAAAAAGATAAATTGGTCATGATCTACACAGACATAATGGATATCTCATGTTTCTTAAAATGGTTTTAATGTTAGCTTTTCATATAAAGTACATAAAATAACTTTGAAAGGGCACGTGATACACTCTTCGAGCCACTGTGCTACTCCATCTCCTTGCAGCAGCTGCTGGGTTGACACGAACCAACATCTCACGCACCCTATGCCCTAACCCTCAATCCTTCTGCTACCAGCAAGGCTCGCATCATCTAAAATGGGTGTATTGAATATTTAAAAAAAAGTTATATTAATTACTTTATGAACTTTAAGAACAAACTTTAAAGTGAGACCAACAAGGCTTACCTCATTCCCAGAATTTGGATAATGGTTACTTTTAATGCTTCAGTCTGAGGGGCATAATGTACATTTTTATGTCATTTTTCAGTCAGGATCTATATCATTAATGGTGACCATAAAGCCAAAAATGAAGCATAATAACCAAAGAATAAACAAACAAACAAATTAAAAGGAAAACAGGAACATTTGTAGATGCCTCGTGTATGAGATTAGGTTACTGCAAATAAACAAAGATTTTTAAAAGCTTGAAACTCACCTGATCTACTTCGAGAGATGGAGAAAGCTCCAGTTCCCTCACTCTGTAAATGTGATGACACCATCGTTCGAATATCATCGAGATTTGTGTTAAGTTGTTGAAATGTGTCAGGAGATAGGAAATGTGCAATTCGCTGTGCATTTCTTGAGCAATTATCAATCACACGAAGTCCTCTCTCACCACAACTTCCCTGACGTCGAGCTCTTTCAATTTCTTGACATTTTCTTGCGATTTTGTCGAGAACCGCAGCCGCCATGGTTTCCCAACCACAGAAAATAAATTGTATGTCGACGAAAGCTCTGGTGTGGGGGGAGGAGCTGAGTAAATTTATTCTCACGTCACACAACAGCAGAGTCATGTACAATTCAGATATCTTAAAATATAATTGTGACTAGTCGAAATTGAATTAGAGATATCTCTAATTACATTTGCGTATGTGTGACGCGTCTGTTGAAGATATCTGTGACATAATTACAGATATCTTAAATGGAGTTTTGACTAGTCAAATCATATTTAAAGATATCTCTAATCCGATTTCTTACTACTGCAATTATAATTGCAGATATCTCTAATTGTCGTTGTGACTAGTCGAATTATAATTATGGCTCGTCAAAATACAATTGTTCCTATCTTAAATGATATTTCTGGATAGTCAAAACAAACTTTTAAATGCTAATACGGCTTGCCATAGACGGCCGCCTCCGCCCACTTTTGAGCTTCAAAAACTATCTTCGGAACCCTACGGGTGACATCACGGACACTACGTCCATGTTTTTATAGTCTATGGTCAAGACACAAACGCGCTACCATCAAGTTTTTCTAATTACATTTATGCAAGCATCGTGAAAGTCAGTCTTTCAATTTCCTTCAGTGCATGCAGGTACTTTAGCTTGAAACCAAGCTCTTTATCAATTCATATGGCATGCTATTTTGTTAAATAATGTCTTCAATATTTCCAGATATACAAAGTTAAGTTTTAATGGAGAACGATATGTCAGAATATATCTGTATTTTCTTCTTACATTATAAATAATGAATTAATAGTTAGATACATTTTAAACTTGTGTTAATTTATTCTAATGTAGTACACTGTTCATTTTAAGATGCCTTATAACTCATGTTACTCATTAAAGTTATGTAAATGTATTTAATAATCAGATTAAATAAATAATTAAATTGTTTCAGGCTTTCATGTGAATATTGCATAAGGGTTTGTGTCCATTAACTTTAACAGTAATTTAATTGACCCTAGAATGAAGGATGTAAATGAAAATAAGTGTACGATTTGACACCTTTATTATAGACAGCTTTTAGCATAGTCAGAATTAGGGGTAATCACAATTATTTTACCACATTTACAGTCCTAATTTAAATTACTGAAATAAGTGGGGGGTTTTTTATTATCCTTTTTCAATAGAATTGGCCCAGACTTCTGCAGTGTCAAGTGAATGAAGCTCCTCTCATAAGATTGCAAACTGGGAGTTTGATGACACTGAGTGTGAGTGATAGAAGCCCTACAGGAAAGGATCAGAATGCTGAAGATGAAGCCAGAATTGTGAGTCTGTGTCATTTATATGTTATTCTATGTGCAGTACAAATTTAAAACACACAAATGAATATGAAAAATTAAAGTTTAACTGGGCAGCCACACAATATATGCTTATGTTCACACCTGGAATTTACTAATTATTAATTTAAGATATAAAACTGCAAAAAGATAAATGGTTAGTTGACCCAAAAATGAAAAATTGTCATCATTTCTCACTCTGTCATTCCAAACCTGCAAGACTTTCATTCAATTTCAAAACACAAGTGAAAATATTTTAAATGAAACCTGAGAGATTTCTGTCCTTCCATCGACAGTCTACACAACCACTACTTTGATGCTTCAAGAAGTTCATAAAGAGATCATAAAACTAATCCAAATGAATCAAGCGGTTTAGTCCAAATTGTCTAAAGAGACTTATGAACAGATTGAATTTTTTTTTTTTTTCATTTAAACATTGATCAGGGAACATAAACAGAAAAACAGAAAACTTGGACTAAACCACATGATACGTATGGATTAGTTCTCTTTATGGATTAGATCTCTTTATGAAGTTTTTGAAGTATCAAAGTGGTAGTTGCGTGGACCGTCATTAAAGGGACAGAAATCTTATATTCTATTAAAATATCTTTAATTGTGTTTCAAAGATAACAAAAGTCTTGGCTGAGTAAACGATGGAATTTAAATTTTTGAACTAACCTGTAATAAAAGAATGTGGTCATATGTGTCTTGTGTCTGTTCACTTGTGCATCACCCAAGATGCATGCTAATGCCAGATGTGAACTGTGTGACTACACAATCAACTTAGCAGAATAGTTCCTGAGAGAGATATTGTTGTCATTAATTGTGTTTTTTTTCCTCCCAAGTTCCTGGCTTCTCCCAAGACCGTTAAGGACCAGATTGACCTCGGAATCAGCTGTAAAGGAGGATGAAACCGATGTTTAAGGTTAGACTATATTTCAGAATAAGATCATCTATATTCATGCTTTATCTATATTCTGTGTTCATGCATTTTTTGCTGAAGTCATATCTGTTATTTAGAATGGGACAGCAATATTGCATCAATTTGTCTCCTACTTCATGTGATTCCACCCTCACCACAAGGCTGCAAGGGACCTGGAAAAATGTCCTCCTATCAAGCTGAAAAACATCTTCAAAAAGGTTCATTTGGACATTTCTGTCACTACCTATTGTCTGCCTCAAAATATTGCCAGATTTGTTGTATATGAAAGACTAATGTAAATAAAATCAGTGGGAGAGCTGACCTTGAGTGTTATTTTTGTCTTTGATCTGCAGGCACTAACAAGAAGAATATCTTGAAGAGACCACATAGCCATACCTGCTCGCTGATGGGACAAAGAGGAACATCATTCATGGATGCTACACAACTGTCGACCAGTATCTTGCTGCAATCTTGTTCAAATCTACCTGTCATATTTGTTCATGTCTAGGTAAATTTGATGATTTTATGCATTTTATTAACTATTTTATGTTTCTGTGCAACACTTAATGAATGAGACTGACTAATTAATACACATCTGGTATATGCTTTAAAGTTGTCACTTTGCCCATTTGTTAAATAAACATTGGAATTTATACATCTGTCTAAAGACTCTTGATTCTAATCTTGTACATTAACACCATACAATAGCATTTTTGTTTTTGCACTGAAAAGAATACTTTATTAATAACACTTAAAGGATTAAAACAACACCAGGGGTGTTAAATACCCCATAGTGTAAAATTTTAACAACAATAGCAAGTGTAACACTTTACACTCAGAGTGTAATTTTTCTACACTGTAAGGTGCTACATTAACACTAAAAATTCAACACCACGAACGGTGTACTTTTAACACTAGATAGATTGGGACCATATATTATCTTTAATAGTGTTAAAATTGACAATTTAAGTGTTAAATTGACACTGCATTTTTTACTGTGTAGGTTTAGGGTTGGGGTAGGTGTAGACTTTAATAAAACACGATCTAATAGATAGAAATTTTTTTTTATTGTTGGTTTCCTGTAGCTGTATCCCTTCTAGCCACAACCGCGAATATAACACAATTACTGTATTTGCATTACTGTAAGGGTATACAGGTTTAGGGTTGTGGTAGGTGTACAAGTTAATAAACCATAATTTTACAGGTAGCATTTTTCATTGACAACAACAACTGTCACGTCCGGTGTAGACACGGTGTAAGTCTGCATTTATTTTATCAAGAATACAGAGAAAATAGTAATATTGCAAAATACAGTTTCCCCTGCCATTATATTAGGGGGCGGCCCTTGAAGGTCAAGTTAATTTTATTTAATTATATTTTCTTCATTTCAACGTCTCGGTTAAGTATAGACCTGATATAGTGCAATATAACAAAGAGTGAAAAATTGAAGGGGGTCTGAATACTTTCCGTACCCACTGTATATTTGTGTATAAAATTGTATAGAATACATGTTTTAAAATTGTTGCATAACTGTTGCTGTCATAATAATGACTAATTTCAAATGTTTATATGCTTTTCTACTCTTTGTTCTTAACAGCTCCCACTTTCTGTGGTGGAGCAGTTATGTAATATTGTTCTTGTACACTTTCCTGTATTTCAGTAGCCTTATAAATATGCATGCAAATTACAGCAAAGTGCAATAGTTACAGTACGGTGTTCATCAGTGGTCAAAAAGGATTTAAACAGTGAATTTTGAATCGATGTCTTCTTGTAAACTCGGATGTAGATTTGGATAGCAATTAAATTACTATACAACCTTGGTATTTGTCAAAAAAACAGGGCCATTCGGTCGGGGATTTTTATGTGGGTGGTGGGCTGACATTTTGGATTTGGACCGCAATGAAATCACAGACCTAACCCCTGTAAATGTTGAAAATAGTTTACGTCCCCATGAGAAACAATTACTGTCCACGGCCTTTATAGTGATGTCTGTAAAAATAAATCTGCAAGGTTCCTCAGTGATACTCATGCATTGGGATAAAGATAAATTCCCTGTAGAGGTCTGTGTTTGTGATCCCACAGACATAATATAAATAAGTGATTCATTGTGAAGCGTAGAGGTTCATTGATTATAACGAAACTTTGTGAGATCATGATGAACTGAAATGAGCTTTTTACAGATTTTGAAGGGAGCTTTCTAGAAATCCTTAAAAATGACTTCATAATTATTTGAAATTAATTACAAATGAGATGGGAATGTTTTGTTTATTGGTCTTTGATAGTAACAATCTTCAGGGCATAGTCTTAAGTTGAACAATGTTTGTTGAAGGTAGAATAGCAGTAAAAAACAAATTTTTTTTTTAAATTTTTCTAGCAAGCTAGATGTGTCAAGTTTAGAATGGCAGTAAATTTGCACCTTTTTGCAGCTTGCTTTCAGCGAATAATGCGCATTATGTGCAGCTAACACATTATTTTTAATATACTTCCCAGATATGACTGAGCACTGGACTACCACAGAGGTTTGCCAGTGGCTTGATGAAGTGTCACTGGGACACGCGAAACCAGCATTCATCGGTCAGTAAAATTGGATGGAATATGCTTTTCAGTGCTCATATTGTCCTGTTAAAAGAGCAACACATGACAAACTTTTAAAGCATCTTCAGCTGTACCACGAAAATGAAAAAGGATTTTCTGTGACATGTGGAGTGGATGGCTGTCCTCATGTATTCTCCAGAGTGAAGTCTTTACAAAATCATTTAAGACGTAATCATAAATCCTCTGGCAGAAACCATTCCGAGATTGACGAGGCACCTAGAAACCATTCTGAGATTGACGAGGCACCAGTTCCTTTGAACCCTGTTGTAGAGGCGCATCCAGTGGACTCTGAAGAGAACAGTGGAGTGTCACTTTCTCAGTTTGTGGAAAAACTTACTGAAACTCTTCAAAGACATTTGGCTTTGTTTTCCCTAAATCTTCAAGAAAAGCATGTGATACAGAGAAGTGTGCAAACAGAAGTAATAAGTGAAGTTGAAGCCTTGTTTAATTTTTTTCATCAAAAATATAAGGACATCTTTTGTAAATGTCTTGATAATTTAAATATTGACATCAGAAATCCACTGTTTTCCTTTTTGAGTGAAGATGATTTTGTTGAACATTGCTTCAGTGCTATTAGCAGTACTCATAAACTTGATCGGTATTGCACTGAAAAACTGAATTTGATCGAACCGGTTGAGTACGTTCTTGGTGTTGACTCGCTTGGAAAAAAATAAACCTTCCAATATATTCCACTCTTGGACATTTTGAAATTAATTGTCAGCGATCAGTTAACATTAGAGCATATTTTTGAAAGGAGGGTAACACATCTTGATTCACTAACAGACTACAGTGACGGTGCAATTTACAGAAACTCGATTTGGAATAGTGAAGACCACTTTTTCAGAATTAATTTGTACAATGACGAGTTTGAGGTTGTGAATCCAATTGGATCTAGAAGACTGCTCCACAAAGTCTCTGCATTTTACTTCACTCTAGGCAACATTCACCCTAAGTACAGAGCCAGTTTGAAGCACATTCATCTTCTGTTACTTGTGAAGTACAACATTTTGAAAAAATACGGCATACAAAAGATTGTGGAACCACTTATTTCTGATCTCAAGAAGTTGGAAAGTAATGGTATAGAACTGGTGTGGGAAGGAAAGGAGCTTTGTGTCCGAGGTGCGCTTGTAACAGTATCTGCTGATAATCTCTCAGCCCATGCTCTTGCAGGCTTTAGCTGTTCATTCAGTAGCGGACGGGTCTGCAGGTATTGCTTGTGCCATTATAAAGATCTTTCTCTGAAAACAAAAGAGGAAGATTGTGTCCTACGGACACCAGAGGCTCACAACTATCATCTCCAGTGTGTGGCAGAAGATCCTACCACAAAATCTTTGTATGGAGTAACAGGTCCTTGTGCTTTTAGTGACTTGCCAAACTTCAGTGTGACCAATGCATTCCCTCCCGATGTTATGCATGATTTTTTGGAGGGAGTTGTTCCTCATGTCTTGAAATTGGTTTTAAGGGCCTTGCATAACGAAAAAGTTGTGAGTGTGCAGGAGGTTAGCAATGCTTTAGCACACTTTCCATTTGGACAGAACGACTCGTCTCATAAACCAGGACCAATATCTGAGAGACTTCTTTCTGATGGACAAATAATTGGAAAAGCTGTGGAAAAGTGGACATTGCTTCGGACAATCCCTTTAATCATTGGGAACAGAATAAGTAAAAGCGACAAGAACTGGCAGCTCATTCTTTGTCTAAGGCACATTGCAGAAATAATACTGGCACCAACAATAAGTGTACATTGGATCAGTCCTTTAGCTCTAATAACTTCATTTTTAACCATTTTCAAAAGTCTCTTTCCTGACTTCTTTACCCCAAAGCTCCACTTTCTACTTCACTATCCGCGGTTGATTGAAGACTTTGGTCCTCCCAGAGCACATTGGTGCATGCGATTTGAAGCAAAACACCTGTACTTTAAAAAGGTGTCTCATGTTGTATGCAATTTCAAAAACATCTGCTCCTCACTAGCAAAGAGAAACCAGCTTCGACAGTGCTGGGATTGGCAGGGAGACAGAGTTCCTGGGAAAGACAATTGTTCTGCGGCAGTGTCACGTTTGGACTTCAGTGAACTTGATAAACCACTGCAAGAAAGGCTTCTGCGCTACTCAAACTTGCAAGAGGAAAATATCTGGAGCAGCAAGAAAATTTTGCTGAACACTGTAAAGTACTCACTGGGAGACATGGTAATACTTGATCTCTTGCATGAAGACATACCACAGTTTGTAAAGATCATCCAAATCCTCAACATTAGAACCAGTTGGTTTATTGTTGGCCAGCTCTTCAGCACAGTTGGATTTGATGCACATCTCCATTCATACCATGTCATTCCCTCTGAGGATACTGTAATATTTAAAGCTGGAGAGGAGGTGGATTTTCATAGTTTGGACTGCTACCACCTGTCAGACCAGCATTTCATCACACTAATCCATCGTCCCTTCAAACCAATGTGAGGATAACCAATGTTATGTGTTTATTCTTTTAGCGTGGCACATAAAATAGTCTCTGATTACTAGCACAGAGTCTGCAGCTTAGAGTGTACTGTATCGTCTGTCCATTGGGGGGGAGAAAAAAAAACTTCTTTGTTTCTTCTTTGTTAAAACTCCTTAACTACTTTGTACTTTATTTCATTCTTTTATTTATTTTTTAACAGAATGAAGTAGATGGTCCAACGCTATTAAAAATGACTGAAAGAATGAGTGAACGTCTCTTCCCAAAAATCAAAGAACAGATACAATTTATGTCTGCATTGGAAGACCTGAAATCGTGAGTATTAGTCCTGATTTTAGTTAAGGTAGTATTTCTATAGTAATTTTCTATGAGATGTGCATTAAGTTTAACACTTAATGTTATGATATGAATATAATATTTTTTATACTATTTGTTGTTTTTAGCCACCGTGACCTCACTGAACATGTAATATCACAGACCACTCCAGTGGTTCTGCACTCCAATACTGAAGTACGGTATCCTACATTTCTAATGAGTGCCCTTGAAAAGCAGGACCCGCAGCTGAAGTCTCCTACTAAGAATAAATAAAAAAATGCATTAACTCAAGCCCTATTTGACCATCTTAGCCAAACAACAATGTAAGTTATTTTGTTTTCTAACACGGAAATATTGACTGCAAAAAGCAGTTTTTTTTTTTTTGTTTGTTTGTTTTTTGCAGTTGTGTGCTTTGATTGGGCTGTCCAACATTATGATAGTGGTTAAATTGAAAATACTGTCTATGTAGGGTTGTAACGGTATGAGATTTTCACGGTATGGTAATAGTCTCAATAATCTCAACAATAATTATTTTTGGCAAAGTTCTGCACATCAGAGGTTTTCCGTTTTTTTTTTTTTTTTTTTTTTTCGTTTTAACTTTTCTGGACTCCTTTTTAATGGTTAAATAAAATTTTATTAATCAAAAAGCATGTCTAGCTAATTAAAATCATGAAACTTGAACAATTTAACATCAATTTATTGAAAGTTTAACAAAAATTACATGTTTAGGGCCCTATGAAATGTTTTATTTTTTCCAACCTTATGTTTTATTGTTACCAAATTCTGTTTTGCATGTCTAATTATTTGAAAGCATAAAAACAAGTTTCATTTATTCTTACAATAGCCCTATGATTTTTTTCCCTCAGAAATTCTGTGTTGTGTATTTACATTTTTAAGGCATAAAACATTAATTTAATTTCTTTTAATTAATGAAAATTAAACAAATTTTATTTTTTGGAAAATAAAGGGGATTTAATATTACAATTAAAAACATTGAAGAAATATTGTATGATTATCCCTTAAAAATAAGGTTTTAATAATTTCAGTAGTAGCCTATTACATACATTCTACTGAACAATAGTAATGTTGGCTATTTCTGCTGCAGTGACTTCAAGGTAAACCGAACTTCTTATTTTGACGGGTTGCCGTGAATACCTTTACATTTCTGTGTGTATATGATATGATGATGATAGTTTTACTCAAATGAAACGGTCAGATGCTCATGAAGTGACTCTCAGAGCAGTTCTGGAGATGTTGTTCATGTATTTATGTCCTCATTAGTGAGACGGCAGACGCTAATATTACCGTAAGCGTCACGCGCGCTTCAGTACAAGTAGTAAACAAAACCGCGCATCTGCACCATTCATAACAGATACCACGACTGAGGTGCCCTTGAGCAAGGCACCGAACCCCCAACTGCTCCCCGGGCGCTGCAGCAAAAAAAATGACTGCCCACTGCTCCGGGTGTGTGTTCACTGCTGTGTGTGTGCACTTTGGATGGGATAAATGCAGAGCACTAATTTCTAGTATGGGTCACCATACTTGGCCACATGTCACATCACTTTAAAAAAAAAAAAAAAATCATATCTACTTTTGATTTATCCATCCATCAGATTGCGCGTTTTACCTGACATCCTCGTTATACTGTAAATTCCATGTTCACAACTGCACTGGGATTCCCTCAGCATCACGGAAATTATACGGGATTAATTTATAACTTTATATTAAAGGGTCATGAAACCCCAGACTACTTTTTCTGGGATTTTAGCAGAGGTGTTTGTGTTGCACATCATAGAAGACAATGTTAGCATCCGATAATTTTAACTGTTGGAGAAAACTGGTTAATTTTAAGCTTTTTTGCACTATTTTCATCTTCCGGGATTAAAATTGTGTTGTCGTCACAATTTGTGACATGGTAATGGACTATAGTACATCGAGGCAAATCGGTGCTCGTTCACGTAAGTGACAATCACGCAGTATGAATTGTCAAAGACGTGATCTGAGGGAATCGCAGACGCCCGCAAAATATTTGGCATGCTAAATATCTGGAGCTGTCGGCGATTCACAGTCATGCAGTGTGCAATGATTTCTGACTGAAAACTACATCAGCAATGACCAACAGCCAATGAGAGACCAAGATACAGGGCAGAGGGATGTTCGGGGAGGAGTTATAGACCAGAATATCAGTATTTTAATAGATATATGAACAATTATATCATACAGAAACGAGCACAAACATTTGCTTGACCAGCCACAACATCAGCATAAGTTACTGCAAAATTATTTACCTCCAACTCTCTTTGCAGAACACCCAATCCCTGTTCCCTGCATCTCCCTCCTGCATAATCTGGTTTTCTTTTTCTACTTGTAGCTGGAAATCAGCTCACAGACAATTTGTGGGCTATATATATATATATTTTTTTATAATTCCAGTCTCGCTCGAGAACTCCAGTCTGACACACGCGGGTTCTCGCGTGTGTTTTGTTGTGAATAGTTTGCGGACCAGACAGCTGTCGGCGATTCTTCCTATTGTGAAGTCATGCAATGTGAAACCCCCTGTCACCGATCCATCGTGCAATGTGAACACAGCAGCAACTGAATGCTACCCCAGATAGTCACGCAGTGTGAAAACAACGGCGATCTGACAAGTTTGAAAATCGTGCAGTGTGAACTCTGCATAAGCTGTGTGTTGTCTGATGCCCCTCCTCTGCTCTGCTGCGCACCACGCCCACTTTTTTAGCATTTTTTAAAACTGTGGTGAGAACTAACCAGTGCTGAAACGGGGGGGTTTCATAACCCTTTAATGCGACACACCTTTATCTGCACGGAGGGATGATGTCAGTGAATATGAGATGTTGGATGAATTGCCTGCTTTTGCAGCCACTTTGCGTCCACATTTTTTGCAAAATGTATCCGTCCTCAAGGACAACCAACCCCATGTTCATTTTGTTTTAATATCCAAAGTATTTTTTTTTTCGGCGAGGGATGGAGATTAGATGTAGTCTCTGTCTCTTGTCATTTTCTCCGCTGCACGTGTGTGTAAGCAGCCAAGTGAATGCAGAGTGAAGCTGCCGAGTGGCGATAAGTTGCATATGCGGGCGGGGGGTGATTATTTTTTTTTTTGTGTTTTGTTTTTGTTTGTGCGCGACAGTCGTCCGCGAGGGGCTGTCGCGCTAGTTTGTGTTTATTTTATTATTAAAGTTTTATTTAAATGTTCGCCGGTTCCCGCCTCCTTCTTCCTGACTTACGAACGTTGTTACACGTAGATATGCAAATGTTTACGGTATGATAACCGTGGATGTTCAAACTGTAATAAACCATCATACCGGTATATCGTTACAACCTAGTCTATAGAATGTCTTATTTGCGAGTATGTTAATGCTAACAAGTTTTGCTAACTTCAGGTTCCTCCCTTTTACAGGTATCCCTCACACACACAGTATGTGGATCTGATGAGATCTGTGTTGATGAGCTTTCCATTTCTAAGGGAGAAATATGGCTCTGGATTTGTATGCATCACATTATAAAATGTGAATTTGTTATTAAGTTCCTCATTTTAATTTCCATTTTTTGGCATTTCAGTATTATTGAGAGTTGAACAACAGATTGCTGTTAAAGGGATAGTTCACCCAAAAATAAAAATTGTCATTAATTACTTGCTCATGTCGTTCCAAATCTGTAGGACCTTCATTCATTTTTGGAACACAAATTAAGATATTTTTGATGAAATCCAAGAGCTTTCTGACTCTCCATGGACAGCAAGGGTACTACCGTAAACAATGTGCAGCGCATGCGTCTCAATACTCCATAATTGCGCTAGGGTGACGCAAAAGATAAGAATTGTTTTTTTTTTTCTTCTTTGTGCACAAAAAATATTCTAGTAGCTTCGTAAAATTACGTTTGAACCACTGATGTCACATGGACTGTTTTAACAATGTCCTTACTGCATTTCTGTGCCTTGACCCTGGCAGTACCCTTGCTGTCTATGCAGGGTCAGAAAGCTCTCGGATTTCATCTAAAATATCTTAATTTGTGTTCTGAAGATAATCAAAGATCTTGGGGGTTTGGAACGACATGAGGATGAGTAATTAATGACAGAATTTTCATTTTTGTGAACTAACCCTTTAATTTGTTTTACTTCTATGGAGCTAGAATAGTCTCAGTATTAGTGTATTTGCAAAATATGATTAGCAAATGTGTACGCTAATTCACATATAAAATGGTGATTATCCTGTTAACAAGATGACTAGAATACATTTATTTTACACAAAGTAACTTTAATTGTTATATTGTTACAGCTGTAACGTTGTAACAGCTGATGTAGGTATAGCAACTTTTTCCCCATTGAATACAAATATTTATACTTCACTATTGGTTTGTGATTCTCCTAGGATGCTTTACTTGAATCTCTGAGGAATAAGTTTAAGAAGGAAAGAAAACCTTTGGTGCATTTGAATGAAGTTGCCAGAATGAAAGACAAATACACTGCTTCCATTCCTGGCTGTAAGCGAGCTTCCAAAAATGATGATGAGCCTGTGTGCAGGAAAACCAAGATGCTGGTAAGTGTTTTAATAAATATAGTACATTTATTTAATCCATGGTTCAAGAAAGTAATTCCATACACAAGGATCTTTAGCTGTAGTAACTCTGTACTTTATTTCAGTACTGATTTATAAAGCATATGTAATATTCCTATATGTTAGGTAAATGTAACTATGTAACAGGACATTTTTCAGCAATCACAAGTTTTAAAAAACAGTTCTACACGTAATGGTGGGGATGTTGAAAATGTGCAAAACTGTATAGCCAGTGTTTCCCACAGGATTTTGTGAGACTGTGGTGGGTGGTCCTCGATCCCTCTAGGGGGGTCCGGGGGCATGCTCCACCGGGAATAAGATTTTGTACATTTTAAAGTTAAATTCATAAATCTGGGGCACTTTGAGAGTTCAAAATTAAGAGCTCCAACACAGGTTCAGTGTGCAAACTAAAATAAAAAAAAAGCTGGTGAATGTACTTATTCTTGAAATGGGGACTCAACCCTCTTTTTAGTAGATATAGTGTCTCAGTCTCACTGGTGAATTTGGAAGCCAAACAAATTAGAATAAAAGAATAATTTTATATTATTATTCCTATGACCGTAATAGCCATATATTGTAAAACAATTGCACTGTGAAATAAATGAAAATTAATTTTTTTTTCAAGTATATTATTTTACCTTACTCTACAGTAGGGAAATTGCAATACTTTTGTCCTAATTTCTACACTTGCAAGCAGGGCCTAAAACTAA